GGCAGGCCAGTCTAATCGTGTGATATCGTATTCTTGAAGAGCAGCATTGACTCGTTGAGCTCGATGTGCGGGCGCATTATCATCGACCAGTACAAATTGGTGCCCATGGTTTACTCGGAATGGTCTGACGATATCATCAATAGCAACTGCTTTGTACATGTCTGCTGTCATGAAGCCCCGATACGGGATCAAAGGCGTTCTAGCTCCAATCATAATGCCACCCCAAAAGGACACCGATTTTCCGCCTTGCTGAACTGTTCCAGTGGCAGTTCTTTGTCTTTCACGGTCGCCTGGTCTTCTCCAGACATGGATTCGTCGGTTATCTGGATGAGTGCTGATTCGGGATTCGTCAACGAAGATACAGTTTTGCCAAATGTTTTCGTCCTCACCTTCTTCATTTTGCCGAAGTCTAGCCCACTGCAATCTTCGTTGTTGACGTTGCCGGGAATTGAGCGGAGCTCGCCAAGACCTCCGTGCTCGTAATCCCGCCTGGTGCAAGCAATTGCGAACGGTCTGCGTGCTAACTTCAAGCCCAGAGGCGGCCCTGACTTCTGCTTTTATTTTAGTGGCGTTGATTGTTGGATCACGGGCTGCCAGCAATCTAATATAGCGCTTTTGGGCAGCTGTCAAAACAGTTGGGCGACCGCTGCGGGGTCGGTCAGCTAAATTCCCCATTCCGTGATACCTCTGCAACGTAGCCACGACACAGGATTGGGATATAGCAAGTCTGCGTGCTATTACTCTCGTGGTGTATCCTTCTTCCCTCAAAGTTACTATTCTAGCTCGTAAAACCTCTGATAATCCTCTTGGCATTTTTTCAATCACAACTTTCCGCGAAAAATATCTTGAATCGCTTATAATTGACTAAATCAGATTTCTGAATGAGCGTAAGCCAGGACTGAAAGCCTTTTTATATGAAAAAACAATTGAACGGGGTCATTGTTTTATGTTCTAATTTATTTTTAAATAAAGAGTTTAAAAATAAGAAAAAATCATAATATAATCTACAGTAACAAAAAAGATTTCAGTTTTTCGAAGTGATCGCAAACTTTTTTTGATGTGTGTATGTATCAGAAATTGCTGAACAAACTCTTTTGTGTACTGTAACCAGACTTAATTCAATAGTCAGATAATCTCAGTACAGAGTCCTAAAAAAACCGACCTCAAAAGTACGTGGAATTACGTGTATTTGCTATTTTTTATTGAAATACCCTTAAATTCACCATTATACAGGACTTGACACTGGAGATAATAAAAATCGGTTCTCACAACTCAAAGAATATTGAGAGAAAAACGCCTTGAATTGGAAAAATAGCAAAATCAACCATAAAAATAATTGCTCCTTAAAAAAATTAGGCGCTATTTATAAAAATGAATCTTCATTTGAATGAAACAAAAAAGAATCGTGAAAATCGGTTCACAAATACCGGAGTTCTCGCGTAACATACATACAAAAAGAAAAGACAGTCGAATTGAGAACCTCCTCCTTTTTTGAAGTTGGTTAAAAAATTTTTAATTTTTGCAATAAATAAATAAATATTAGACAACATCACAATGTTGCTCCGATCCCAAAGTAAGTAACCAAAGCACTTGTGTTATGGAAATCGGAAACAACGACGATACCACAAACACCCAAACCCGAGATAATATACAAAAGTTAGTTTTTATCAGAGATGGCGACACCATGAAAACCGGTATGTAAGCCACTCGACCACCCCACGACGGATGTCGTTAATACGTTAATATCATCATCTCATCCCATTAATAGGCCTTCTTTTTCGCACGCCATTGTCACAGTCTTCTGGCCACACCCACGATATCGTCCGAACATCTAGCAGATGGCCTGCCTCTAGAATGTCTAGCTCCTACCGGGTATCACTCGGTGACCACCTTAGTTTACCGGTCGTCGTTCCGCCTTGCAACGTGTCCCGCCCATTGTCGTCTACGACTTTTGTGCGCTTTCGTATCTCCACGTAATATACCAACAAACAAATTTTGCTGCGTGTTGTTTATAAAGTCTGAAAATGTGAAGAGAATAAGGTTGAAAAAGACACCAATATAATTTAAGTTGAAATAAATTAATTTATACTTTAGTCGGTCGACGTTATTGATTTAAATAAATGATGTTTTTTGACGCGAATTAAGAGTAATCTGCCGACATGCTACATACATAAATCATGAGTTTTATAAAGCTTGTTTTAAGTCATGCTTAATTCAGGCTATTAGCGTAATTACCTAAATTTTTTTCCTAAAATATTCCTTTAAATGATACTGTAAAAGGTTTAAGTATTTAACTAAAAGTAAACAAATCGTAAACAGGTATTTTATTAGGGATTACCTGATTTCTTATTGTATAATTTTTTAAACTGCCTCTGTAACAGAACGGTTACCATGCCGTGACTGCCGCGCAGAGGTCCTAGGTTCGATTCCCGGGCCGGGAGAAATATTTGTATGGCCTACATTTATTTATCTCGTGAGTTTGGGTGTAATTTGTGGTTGTCTATGTGTGTGTCCATGGCACCCGCGACATAGGGTTTCCCTAGTGCGGGGCTGTATTGAGTGTGTGCGTTATTATGTTATTATAATTACAAAGAACTTTTTGAAAATGGTTCTTAATTTACAATAATATATACAGGTAAAAACAACATTTCGAACTACCTATTTAAAAGACGACTGTTAATGAGCGAGAACAGTCCTATATCTTTCTACATAAATTTAACCATTAATATCAACCTCTTGGTTATGCGGAACCATCTAAGTCAGGTCCAAACTCCGGATCAGCCCGTTTACAAGGACTTCGTCCGGTTCTCCGTGTGGTTGCACTTACAGCACCATCCCCATTTTCCAGATAGGTACCGGAGGAATATTTAAGAAATATATTTAAAAGGAATTCACATAAAAGTATAAAAAATACGATGCTCTGGCGGCCCGCTGGCCTCGACGGACAAAAGTTTAGATTGTTCGTCGCTACCAGTGAGGCACTGCTCCGACCAGTTGCCATCAACTAATAAGTACTTAAATCTAAACAGCATAAATTAGGTGTTTAAATAAGGCTATTTGATAACGAGTATCACAATTTTCCTACGATAAAAAACCTAAAAATCCAGGAGTTCGAAGCATTTCAAAAGATGACCTCTAATGAACAATACGTCAACTTAATTTTTGGACCTGTTCTGTTTTTATTTTGTTTTTTGTTTCTTTTTTTTTGTTTATACGTCTTAAATAAATAAGGCTGTTTAGGAAAATAATAGAAAATGACCAAAAAATAAAGTTTACGTAAATACTAAGTGTTCATTGGAGGTATCGAGATAGGCAGTTAATAATAATATGCGACCTATTTAAAGAGTACGGCAGCAATATGACATATATGAAACACTATTGTATTGCACCGGTTAACTCGACGCCATTACAACTACATTTTGTTTTGCTTGCAAGGGACAGCTGAAGTTTGTTTACTTTTAACTAATTACCTAAACCTTTATACTATAAAGTATATAATTATTTTATATTATGATATTATTTTCGTGCATTAAAAAATGGTAATTATATATCATGGGGTTACACTTTTGCACTGATAGTCAGGTTTGTAATGCGACTACGAGGCGACACCTATGGTTTTCCCCACTACCCTAGTACGTGAGGCGCACTATAAGTTTCCGGAATGAATAAGAAAAAAATACTATAAACTGTCAGAAATGAATTTATTGTTTCTCAAAATATTCTCCGTTAGTGTTAATGCACTTCTTCATACGAATGAACCAATTTTGAAAACATTTATGCCACTCCTCCGTGACAATCTCTGAAATATATTTTTCACACTCTTCGACAGCCTCTTCAGGTGACGAAAATCGTTGACCGCGTAAATGGTTCTTAATTTTTGGAAATAAATATAAGTCACAAGGTGCCAGGTCGGAACAGTACGCGGGATGGCTCATAAGGTCAACGTTGTTCATCTTCAACAATTCATTTGTCTGTCTGGCCGTGTGAGAACTGGCACTATCCTGGTGCAAGATGATACGGTTATTTTTACGGAGTTTGTCAATAACTTCCGGCAAACAAATGGTCGTATACCAATCCTTATTCACGGTCCAAAGCAACAGTAGCCACGTGTCCAGTTTTATTAAAAAAAGAAGCAATCATCACTTTGGTTAGTTCCGGCTCATCTCGAAAGACCCATAGGCTCGGTTGCTGATTTGTTTTGGGATCGTAACTATAAATCCATGTTTCGTCACCTGTTACTATGTCCCACACCAAATTTGATGCCCCTTCGTTCATTCTAGTAAGCATGGCATTGCATACCAGAATGAACGAATATTTTTTATTGCAAGTGTTGCGATCCCTTTTTTGAGCCTTAGTCAAATTGTGTGGGATCCACCCAGAGCACAGCTTTTTCACATCCACATGTTTGTGTAGTATTGATTGTAGATTGTAGTTGACTCATGCCTATGCCTAAAGATGCCCGAATCCCATGGTATGTCACATGCCTGTCTGTTTTGATCATACGGCACACAGCATTCACACATTCACAGCAGTGGACCATAACGAAATTCGTCACTGAGATTCACACGACCGCGTTTGAATTCTGCAAACCAGCTATAAATAGTCGTCTTGCATGGTGCTTCATCGCCAAAAGCAGTTTGAAGCCTGAAGGCTGAGCTGTTAAATTACACTTAAAGTCGTAGAAAATCATACTACAAAAATTTTCACGAGTTAAATCCATGGCGATGTAGACAACCAATTCTAAAATGTAAAAACAAGTGACAGTCAGATGAAACAAACTGTATTCTACAGCCAAAGGGTTCCATTTTCAAATGTTGTCATTCCTTTTTAAATATTGTTTAAATAAGTAACCAGTTCCGGAAACTTACAGTGCGCCCTATGTACACGTATTTACAATCTTCACTCGCCAACTAATATTCTTTTCCGTTGCCATAAACTGTTAACTCACAAACGATTTTCCCAAAGAAGTAAAACCAACTCATCTACAGTATTTTCCGCAGACGAAAAAGAAACGCAAGCGCTGCGGCGAATGTATCGGATGTCAGCGCAAAGACAACTGTGGCGACTGCGCACCCTGTCGTAACGACAAGTCGCATCAAATCTGCAAGCAGCGACGATGTGAAAAGCTCACAGAGAAAAAGGTAAGCTTCATTTTTACATAAATATAAAGTATGGATTGTGAATGCAAAATATGATGTGGGTAATGTAAGAGAGCACTGTGGCATCCACTTTAAAACAGCTGTCAGAGCAGCCCAGGAGCAGATCAGAATAGGTTCGTAACGGCAAAAAAGCAGGATGGTTATATATACACTATATAGCGCTGTCTCACAACGATTCCTATTAGGTCCTAAAAGCTTTCGAACGAAAGTCCTAACTATGGAGCTTTCAGGTCCATAATGAGGATTTTTCACAGCTACTTCCAAGTCTTCCAACACGTTCAAAAACATTATCGCACCATGCTTTCCCATATAAACTTTGATATGCCCTTTCACCGTTATTTAGGGGTTTTTCACTCTCATAGAGTTCACACGACGACTTGTAGCAGCGAAGCAAACGCGAGTTTGTGAAAAGCGTGATTGCATCTCTACACTTGCGATTTATAGGCGACTGCATCGATGCAAAGGCGCGACTACATCGCTACAAGCGCGCGACTGCATCGATACAGTCACATTGATACACATATTGAATCATTATGTACAAAAAATTTGTATAGGTTTATGCACATTATTTTGTTTTGTTAATTGTAAATTTAAAAGTGAAATTAATAAATACATGAAACAAATAAATTTATTAAAAAACTAATTTAAAACGTGTAACGCGTTCGTATCGCTTTTGCAACGCGCATGTATCGCGTTTGCATCGCGATTGCATCACGTTTGCATCGCTAAGGTAGATGATTAGCGACTCCATTGCGTTTGTATCGCTAATTGTAACCGCTAATATTTTACTTTTTTTTTCAATTCAACCAATTGAAAAAAGAACCAGGCTATCGGACTTCATTAAAGAAATTTTCTTTCTGAAAGTAAATAAGGAAAAAAAAAATTTCTTTTTCCTCTATGTTAAGCAAATTTTAATCTACCGTTAATTACTTATATACTTAAACAATACCAACACTGAGTAAATAAATGGTAATAATCGTTCATTCAGAGAAGTGAACATTTCAAAAATTAGACCTCTTAAAGAGTCTTGAAATTTGCAACAATAGTCTGCCACAGAAGACAAGAAAAAGAAAAACTTCCTAATTTTAAAATTGATTCAATTCTTTAAACAGCTAATAATACTACACGTCTTATTTTTTTTAATTCTACCTCATTCTTAGAATTAAAACAGGCCTCTATGGTTATATCATTGTCAAATCTGATACATCAGCGCTGACTTCCAATCCGGAATGCCATTTATTATGGAATAAGTTATACAGTATTCCTTACATAATAACGCTACACTTACCTTAATAGCTTTTTACGTTTACCAGAATCACAAAATCAAGTCGGGTAGCTAGTATTTAATTACTATTAGCAACCTCAATTAACTTGGGAATACATATGATACTTCTCTACACGTAAAATAGACGTTACAACGTCGGTTGCGGAACTCAGCATCATTCATCTCCGCAATAAAAACATTTAAACCTTCCTACGCCAACATACTTGGATGTTTAACTCATTAAAACATTACCCAAAAGGCCTACCAGTAGAATTAAAAACAAAATAGCATAGCTTCAAACGAACGTACAAACATAAATATATACAGCTAATTTAAATATTTCTGAATCTACAGTAAATGGCATTCTCGCACATTGAAGCATTGCTTCCGCCATCTTGTGGCACGTCACGTCAACAAGATGGCGGCTAATGTATGCACTGAATGAACTGTAATAAGTCATTTATGCGTGTTTGCGTCATTTGTTAGTACTTTTGGGTTCCGCTTGATTCAGAATAAATCATTTATTCCACTAAACCCAAAAGTAAAATCAATTAGTAGTATTATACCAAAATTGTATATTTTGTATGCATAACACAATTTTGAAATTGCAACTACAATAACAAAAGATATCTTATGAGTGGTTTGTGAATTTTACTGTAATATAATATATTATTGATAGAAGTTGCTGAATTTGTCCTCAGCTGTATTCCCTCTAATATAATACGCTGAATATCAAAATCATTTCTATCTTAATGAGTAATAAAGGAGAAAGAATGTTATAAGTAGTATAGTCTAATGTTTAGCCTATAGAGAATTTGATGTTTTTTAACCATATCTAATCAAAATTCAACAATCAACATCTCAATGGCAACAGAACCTTTGTAACATAAGTATAACCCAATTGCTGGCATTTATTCCAATGATTTAGTCGTCATTTGAAATTCCCGTGTACTCGAAGGCAATAAATAAGTCATGAGACGCGAACGCGACACACCAGCGAAAACTGAGACAATGCTGACCATGAGAATTTTCATGAATGAATTCTATTTGTCAAGGTGTTTTTGAACATCAGAGAAACTTGAACCTTGCAAAACTTGGTATAGTATATTGTACTTTTCGTTCTTGGATTTGAAACACTCGTAAATAACACCTCATTTAAATTTTTACCTAAAAAAGATCCTTTTTTAGGTTAAGACTGAATTTGTCACTGTAAAAAGTTACACCTGAAAATTATGGCCAAGTTCTTTTTAAGAACTTTAAAACGTAATTTATTTTAATACTTTCATTATAAAGTAGACAGTATGAATCTTATATTTTTTTTTACAGTCAAGAACACTTTTGACTTTTGATTCGGACCGTTGTTATTTCAAGCTGCGTATTTATTTAATTTTTGAAGAGCATGGCGCCCAACGTGGGGCCAGTGTCGCAGTTGAAGGGCTGCTAGCTTTCAGTGGGCGTTTAAATATTATTATTTGTATGTAAACTGTTATAAGACTACAATTTAAACTTAAATTGTAATCGACGTTATTTATGTGCAAGTAAAAATATTTTAGTTAAATTAGTTGAAAGTTATGTTAAGGAGTTTTTCGTTGCAATATACATGAAATCTCATATATTTACAGAAAATCCAAAAAATAAGGAAAACTTTGAGTAAAACCCCCTTCCCCAAAAACTGCCATTACGATGATAATAAAAAAAATCTTAACACAGCAACGAATTGGAGAACAAAAAAGACAAATTATTACCATAAAATAGTAATAAAAAGCATAACAACAAAGTTAATAGCCCGTGAAAAGATCGTTAGCACTCTTATTTCTACATAGTCTGTGGATATACAAATAATGCTTAAGTTATGATTGTTTGTCGCGTTTTACGGTTATATATTTGGTAAAGATAATTTATCGTACATTCCGAATATCCATGGTGTTTAACTGGCTTTCAAAATAAAACCAGAGGTTACTGGCTTTATAGAATACACCGTACTTTTAATATTAAGTTCATTGAACATCTGTCCAAAAACTTTCATACTTTTCTCGCAGATGGCGCTACGACAAAAGTCATTAACAACCAAAATCAAAGATCTGCTACAAGCACATGGAAAAATTCTTAAGGTCTGCTGGTTCGTTCCGTAGCTCAGTTAGGTGAGCGTCAGTCACGGTATGCTGAACGCCCTGGTTCGACTCCAGCCAGATTGAAGGATTTTTTCTTACTGTTCGATCCCTGTATTAATAAATTACACCAAATTTTGGTTAGACCACATATTATAAAATCATACGTCATATCCTACTCCGTCAAAATCATGTAAAAATGTATGTACCGGTACTTTGAAAACCGTATTCCACAATCTCAAGAATTATGAATACTTTTTCAAAAATGTTCCTTTAACATTGATAATACCAAACAAAACCACATTTTGAAATACTGTGCTTTTTTTTATTTTTCGCCACGAAGTAAGACAGATAATAAAGCAAAGATATAGGAGGCGAAAATTTGGACGAAAAAAGAACGTCCGCTAATGGGTTTTTAACAGCGTGATAGAAAGAGACAAACATATTTCCCGATAATCAGCTTCTGAAACACGATTATATCACAGCCGTATATAGGAAAAATCTCTTGATTTTCGTTTCCTTTTTCTAATATGATGTTACATTTTATATTTTCAGTAGGAAATATTAGGCAAAGTTAATTTGCGCAATTGTGGCAAATCTATCCAATCAGAGATACGAAAATGTGGTTCAATTTCCGATGTGTAACAATCGCGGAATCCTAGGAACTCAATTTGTTATTGATTTTGTTTCACAGAAGACAGCAACATCTAAATTAGACAACTTACCACATCTCTTCCGAGAAACTGGTACTCAAGACAGAAAGCTAGAAGGAGGGTATAGGAATCTCGGGCGTTAATTGCGGGATCCGTAACTTCGTGCACTTACAGCCCAAATTATACGTGTGATAATGCAAATGCCGACTTCTACGGTTCTTTGTTAGAAAAGACGTGACAACAACAAATGTCTTTGGTTGATGCATAATTGAGAAGGTGTCGAATCAATCTCTTTGGAAAAAATATATAGTAAAATTAAGGGTATACACTGGTTAGTATACGGTGTGAAAACACAATTCCTAAAATTTTTCACGTAACAAAAAGATAAACTTACCTTGAAATTCCACAAGAAACCGCTGTATTCAATAGGTACCTACTTTTCATACCAATATTTTTTTACATCAACTGAACTGAATAGAACACGTATACTATACGACATTGCCTGGTCAATGCTGGTCAAATTTCGTTTGTAAAAAAAATATATTCTGAAAATAAGCCAGCGTCCCTGCCTCTCGACCCAAGCAAAATGAACCGTATTAGTACGGGAAAAAATTTAATTCGAGCTAGAGGTGAGGAGGAGAGAGAGAAAAAAAATACAGTTTTTTTAACTATAATAGTTGGATAGGCGTTTCTTGAAGTTATTTTTCTAGTAAGATATAAATTGATATATCTATTATAAATTAAATATATTTTAGCTCAATGTTAATGAGTTACGTTCCTTGTGAAAGAGTTTGTCCAGGGAATTATTGCCACGTTATCTGTTTCTGCCCTCAAGCAGTAATGTTAGCATTACTGCATTCTGATTCTGGAGGGTAAGGGTGCTGGTGTAATTATTGGTACATGTGACTTTTATATAGCGATAGGTGTGTCACTTACAATCAGGCGCACGTCTTCGAA